CAGTTGATTTTTAAATCAAAATACAATAATTTTCCTTTTCATTAAAGTTCCCTTTCAATCCTTTCCGATTCTGTTTCCATCATTCATTATACCATCTAACCCCCTTAGCTTTGTGCTAAGTTGAAAATTTGAACATTGAAATCAGTATTTTTTACTTTTTAATCTATATTTCTTTACATTACATATATTAATAAAAATTTCACTACTTACATTCCTGAGTTTCTGATGTACCTCTTTGTGGAAAGATGTCTACACTTCCCTCCAGTTAGAAATTCCTACTTATAACTTTAACTCAAGCAGTACAAAAGCAATTCATGTAACCAAAACATTTGTGCCCTTGTAATATTCTGAAATAAAAAAAAGAAATTCCTAACATGAAGTTATATCTCCTGTATATCCACATCAGAAGAGAGGATGCTGTTAAACTTTACTATTGTCTGAATTATGTAAACTTTTAAGTTTTCAAACACACAATTGTTTTATGATATTGAATAAGCTTTTTCAAAATAACAGCTACAAGCATGACAAATACACCACACTAATGTAAAATGTTAATAAGGGAAACTGTGGGGAATACTCTATCATCTTTGTAATTTTTCTGTAAATCTTAAACTATTCTAAAATAAAAATTTTATTTTTCTTTAAAAATAATACAAGGTTGTAATGTGAATCTTTAGCCCTATACTAACCCTCAAACTCAACTGCATTTGAGAATTAGTGATACATATCTTGTGAAAAATAGTGGTCAAGGTCTCTGGTCCATTTCTAGAGCATTTTCATCTGAAGTGGCCGTGGTGAGGGGTAAGCATTGAAGTTAGACCTGGCATCAATTTCTGGCTCTGCCACTATCTAGCTGCATGATTTGAGCTGGGTAACTAATCTTTCTGAACCTTGTTACACAATAATTAAATAAAAATAATAATACCTGAGAATTAAATAATATATGCAAAGCACTTAACACGGTGCCTGACACTTAGTCAAATAATAATTGTTAATATTATCATTCATAATATCTTATTCCGAAGTTAAAAATTCAGTCAACTGTATAATCATCTGACCCCCATTTCCTGGGCTTGTTCACATGCAAATCATGGCTGGCTTTGTAGAACAGAGATATAAAGAATTCCTCTCCCCTCTCAGTTGGGACAACGAAGAAAGATCCCCAGGGCTCTGGTATCAGATAGGTCAGGAGGAAAAGGTGGGTTTGGTGAGAAACCCCCGACTGGAAGTCCTGCCTCTGTCCTTTATCATCTCTACGATCTTAGGCAAGTTAGTTAGCACCCTGAGACTCTTCTCATCTGTAAAAATAATGGCAAAATAATAGCTGCCACAGTCCTCCAGGGTATTTTGGTAAGGATCCCATGAAATAATAGGTCTATAAAGTTGCTTTGAAATATTGAAATCATCAATATATTTAACATGGACTATGTCTAATAATAATTATTTGCTATTAAAGGACCTTTATTTTTTCCAACTGATCATTCCTTTCTGGGTTCCCCTCAACTACTCACCAACAATGGGCTTCGAAATCTTTAATATAATCTTTACAGGGAATCACTGCAAGCTCATACTTCCAGAGTTATTATAATTGACAATATGCTGTTTTTAAAGAAGTATTACAGATTTTGCCCAGCTCTACTTTTAGGGCACCTCCTTTTATTTCAGTGTCCCTCAATGGGACCTATGTGTAACTTTTCTGAATTTCAGGACATGTAATTGAACAACATTAGGTGTCTGCAATTCACCTGATCCATTCAGGAGTTATACTCCACTTTGCTTTATGTTCTTACTAGAGTGTGTTTGGTCTTTTCACGGGTGATGAGTAGGAAGAGCACTCCTGTGGGGTAAGGTAGGTAGATTGAGTATGATGTTCGTAAATATTATAATTGAAATTGAAGAAAACAATATAAACTTCACAGGGATGTCATAGAAGTTAAATATCATTTTGGTGATAACAATACGTAACGTTTACTGAGCATCCACTCTGTGAACTACACTGTTATTTACATACATCATTCAGGTAAACCATATGAAGTATTCATTGAGATTATTTGCTGTTAATCCAATTTTGAGAGCTTTCTCTCCTTGCATTAACTGTTTTCTTATCTTCATCTTTCTGAATGATCTTTTATCCATTTTTTCCCCCATATCTGAAACCTGCAGTTCTAAATCCTACTTTCACCCCAGCTTTGTCTTTCTGGAAAAACTGAAAAAAAATTCTTTTCTCTCAGAGTTTCTCAAACTTCCATTCTATCAGTCACTTTTCTTATTGAGATTCAGGCCCCAATTAACAGTTTAACCTGAACCTCATTGTATCTAGTAAGTTATTTAAAATTTTCATTTAAATGTAATGGTAGAGATCTTTACTAAACATTAATAGATAAACATTTTAGTGAGGTCATGATAAGCAGAATCTTTATTTAATAAGATACATAAATATGTATAAAAAGTTGTTTTCTTTTTCTAAAAGAATAGAGTAGAATGGTTTTAAAGAGATTTTCAAGAGACTGGGGAAAAGCACAAATCTATCATAACCTCTTACAACAGACGATTACTTTGAAGTACTTAAACAGAATGTGGCAGTCTGATATTCCTTCTCACCCCTGCTTTATAATCAAAGTGTGCAGACGTGCAAAATCTCTGTAAAAAGAAGAGTCTCCTTTTCCATTGCTGTATTAGTACCAAAATTCTCCTTCCTGATAAAAAATGCAGCATTATTTATCATTGTAATCTTTTTTCTTTTAATAATAAAAATTCAAGATATCTTTTATAAAAACACTGTATTTACAATACATAGAACTTTTTCCTTAAGAAGATGAGGACAAGCATGTACACTCATACCATGTGGTACACTGTGAACATTTAATTGTGTAAGCCTTGTCTTTGCACCTCCAGTTCATGCTCTTTTGATGTAAACGCTCACTATTGAGCTATGACTATCTGCAGAAGCTATCTGTTGTGTAACTGATTCCTATAAAAATAATCTGCACAAAACCTTCTATCTTGTCAAAGAAAAAAATAAACACAGTTTTGCAGATCACAACCAGCTCCATCATTTTAAATTCTCGTAATGAACAACACTGGCCTCTGCTGGTAACCAAGGTTGTGATGAACCTTAATGAACCTTCTCAGCCGCTGAAGGTAGTGCCTTTAGGCAGGTGGATCAAAACTCACTTGAGATTTTTGTTGTTATTCATTTGTTAATGATAGGAGAGCTGTAAATTTATGACGGATCCAAGGGTGAAAGTCTCTAGCTCTAGTTATGGGCTTAAATGGACTCAAATTATAGTGCTTGAATTTGCCATTTCTTCTGGTCAAATAAATTTAAACACTTTTGCTTTAATGTTGCAATTTAAAAATGATCTTTTCTTTCAATAGCAAGGAATTGGGAATAAAAGGATAATTGATGATTTTCAACTAAATTTTGTAAGTAATAACGGCATACAGAATACAAACACATACTCCTTGAAGTTTACTTGCATTACTTCCAGTCTGCATCGTCTTATTCATACAATGCAATGGAAATTACTCGAATACCTAGGAAATGCAACCTAGATCTTTAAAGAAACTGCAAATCTTCAACCCAGAAAATACTGTGTATCTAGGTTGAGCCAATTACCCAGAATTTTACACAAATTTTCTGTATTTGTTCCCCAATAATTCTACAAAGAAAAATAATAGATTATATTTATATTTTAATAATGTTGGGATTATTTTCTGTCTCAAAGCAAATATAAAATTCCTTTGATCATGTATGCAAAAGACAGCAAACTACAAAGTGACACATTTTTCCTAATTGATTGCCAGTACAAGGCATGCTTCCTCCAGTGGGTCTTAGCCTGACCAGTGGGAACAATCTCTAGAACACTTGGGCCATTCCTCTCAATGTCCACTGGTGATAAACATTGACCAAGACAGGGAGGGCCTTTGCTCCCAGAAGTTCCCATCAAAGAACATGGAACATATTTAAAAGATAAAAAATTGAGGCCAACATAGGCTAAAATACTTGCTTACATTGTCAAAGGAGTAAAGCAGCAGAAATACATAAACACTTATTCCCGCACTTGTACAAAGGGACTTGGAATATTGTATCCTAAAGAATATCCTGGGATGAAATGTCAATACAGAAGAAATAGAGAATAACTCACTGATATGGAATTTAGCTTTGGGAGTATAAGTTTACTGAGGTAGTGGTAGTGGAAAGCCTTCTCAAAACCAGTAAAGGGGAATGCAATCTGCTACGATCAAAAGCTTGTATCACTGAGGTACAGGCCTGCCTTGAAATAGAAAAAACCTTAGTCGCTACCAATCTCAAACATATTTGAAATAGTGACCATGCTTATCTCATGAGTCATGAATATTTTGCAAAATATCGAGATTTCACACCAGTTTGTACTTGTTACTTTTTCTTTTCTTTTTCTTCCATTCTCTCCCTCCCTCCCTTCCTTCTTTTCTTTTTTTTTGAATGTGTTTAAATCATGAACTTCCAATGGAAAACTGGAAAACATTTTTTCTACATCTTTGAGAATCATACACTCCAAGCTATATAAAACATCTTAACCCGTGCCTGAAAATATAGACACTATTTAAGGAAGAATAAATACATTTTGCACACAAGGTGCCTTTCTGAAATAATTTCTCTTTCAATCCCCAAATACTTTTCTCGACAAGATAGTGCAGCAATGTTTGGAAAGCATTAGCATACCAACAGATGCTCAGAATCAAATAACTTAATAGGCATCAACTTTTTTTTCAAGTAATTGCAAAGCTTTGGTTTAGCCTTTTGCATACCTTGCATAGTTAATTACCTAGGCCTTAATGTTTACATGCAATGAGAGTATCTACGGCTATAAACTACGTAATTTATAATTGATGTAAATGGGTGTTATTATGTCAATTAGGCAGCTGTGTCCTCTACCTCTTGGTAAACAGCTATGAGTGATAAACCGAGTTTGTAGAGAGATACCTTCTTTTCTTCATAACAGATAAAAATAAATTACCTAGGCAGATCAGGCTGTCCAATTGTTCTCTGGTGAGGTGGATGGAAAATCCAGACCCTTTCTTTTGACCTGTTGACTGTAGCAAACGGTCAATTTCGTCACGCACCGCTGACATAGCTTCTGGGTGCTGCAGAAGATAATACATTGCCCAGAACATAGTTGGAATAGTGTTTGCCACAGAGGCCCAGAGAAAGCCTAAATGATGTGCTGGGAGAAAATAAGTGAAAAGGAAGATTAATAGCGTTTATTACACTGATTAGATTTGCAATGTGCTAATTAAAAGATGTTAGGACACAGACCCAGCCAAGGATCAGTGCATGCTAATGAGAACCAATAGGCTTCTGAAGTCTAATTTTCTGCTTAATGAGAATAGTTTAAAATGTAATGTGTGTGGGGGGGTGGGGAGGTGGGGGATGAGATAAGAGGAGTAAATGCAGCTTAGTTATACTCTTTCTCATTATCACCATTAAGTATCTTGTTTTACCACCTCAGCAAAAAAAAAAAAAAAAAAAAAATCAATTATCACAAAGGGTTGTTTCAGAGTAAAACATTTTATCATTAGCCAATTAGAAAGAGCATAAAAATTTTCAAGGTCGCCATTTTGTCTTTTTATTTCAAAGGTCTACTGTAAATTATTTTATTTTAGGCAAGTACTCATACTCATTCAAAGTTTCTTACCTCCTATTTCAAAGTCCTCACGCACATAGTATTTCTCCAGGATATCTTGCCTCATTTGAAAAACTTCTGGCCATCCTTGCAACTTAGCTAAGTTTTCTGAGGTTAAGCATTTTATGAGTTTCTTCTGAAGAGACTTGGTATTTCCTAGAAGCTCAATGGGTATGTCAGATACTAAATATGGGAACTTGTCATCAAATTTTAAAAAATCATCTCTTAGCTCACTAATAAGTTTTTTTCTGTTGCCAGCAAGAATGTTTCCGTGGATGGTTGTAAACGTGATCTCAAATATTATTGAGCTGCAGAATGTAAACAATTGTGCCGTATCCCAACTCGTGGTTTTTAATAGTCGGCCTTCGAACACTTGTTTTAGATTCTGCATTAAGTTTTCCAAGAGTGTGTCCAAAGATTTGCCTTGCAAAAGTTGATAGCAGAGGTGAAGCTCATCATTCATTTCATCATTCTCTGACAACTTCTTGATGGAAAATGCTTTCATTAATAATTTATTAGTAAATTCTCGAAAGCTTAATTGTTTGTGATTTTTCAACACTAACGGGTACTGGAAAGGGTCCAGGATAAATGTTATGTACTTCCCTAAAAAAAAAAAATATATATGAGTTCATTTGTAACAAAACAAAAATAAATACTTTAAGTTTAAAAATATTTTAATCAACATTAAGAAAACCCTAATAACTAAGGTGCAAAGTTTTGAAAACTCCATTTCATTCAAAGATCCATTTTCCTTTGAAAATGGAATTATGGTGGGAAAAACTCTAGAAGCTTGAAATTAAATATCTGAAATTCTTAATGACCTTTAAGGAGATAGTTACTCTTTCAATTTTTATTTTAACTAAGGTACCCAAACATGTTAAATGTCCTTTAAATATTCTCATAATGCCTTGACTTAAAAACTTCACATATTTTTCCACAATAAAATAAGGAAAATAAAACAAATCAGTGAGATGACATTCCATTTCTGATTATTTACACTTCATAAAGAGCTTTTTTTGTACTTAGATCTGTCATTTTAGTTTTGTTCAAAACAATAATTTTAACTCAAATAAATGGCCATGCAGTATGAAGCAGGAACTCACAAATAAATGTCAAATTCGATACTAGCAAAAAATCACAAATGCCAGCATTTTCATTTTTATGGATGGGAAATAGTGGCTGAGGGAGGTTTAGTAACATGGTCAAGGTCACATAGTGACTTGTGACTGACACAGGATTCCAAACTAGCAACCATTCACTCATCCATTCATTCAGGCATTTATTTACAATATTTATTGAGATCTGGACAGTTCGTTGGATCCCTTATCCTCTTGAGGTAAAATGACGTAAAGAACTCATGGTATTGCTATGGATAGTGACATAGCCCAAGTGGAACTTGGTGTAAGGGAAGTAGAAAGCGGAGTTCGCTTCAGCCTGTCTGGTGCTATCAGCAAGGGTTCCTTGAGGTGATGACATTTATCTTTTTTATATATCAGTGCTGTCCAACCTTATCTGATTAAAAAAACTTGGGGTGCTTCTTAAAAATACGGATTTCTGCAAGATTCTGATTCATGAGGCTTGGAGGTGGGACCTACAGTCTCCATTTTGATAAGGTCCTCAAAGGATTCTTCTAAGGAGGAATTTTGAGGAACACAGTCATACTATGGTTTGTCTCTCAAAACTGGCAGGGACCTTGGAGAGTTCCTAGCTCAATTCCTGCATTTATCAGTCGAGAAAGCTAAAGAAAGTCAGAAGAGGAAGGGCCCAGGTCATGCTGCCATTTTAGTGGCAGAGCCTGGACAAGAAGTTACTCCCATGCACGGTTCTTTTTCTCACACATTGCTTGTCTCCTCTCGCTAGAGTGCTGTTTTAAAATTCCTTCTAATTAGAAATATTATGCAGGTAGTATTCAATAATGGTATTTAATAAGTCTCTCCAGAACACACAGAAAGTTTGGATGATTCTAAAAATGGTGATGTCTAATTATTTATTGTTTTCACTTCATTATTCCTGTGTGTGTGTAACTTTCTTAGAGGAATGCTTCTCACTTGTTATTTATGGTAACTCAAATAGCATCACAGAAATTCAATTTGTTACAAGATATTTAGGATGAAGTTTTGAAATAATGTTCAACCTAATCCTAGAAACAAGATAAATGTGGTTTTGCTTTATAATTTTAAAACAGAATTTAAGTTTTTAATAATACATGAATATACATGTGCTATGATTTTTTTTTCTAAAAATTATTCATACAACTTGAATTTTATTCACTCCATTTCCCCTTAATTCATTTACTAATGTGAGCTGATCTAGGAATGAGGGTAGAGGTAGAAGTGGCTACTCATTCTGGTCCACCGTATTCTACAAAGTAAACTGAACAATTTTTTTATTTTTGCTCTGGGGAGAGCAAAAAGGACTCAACTGGATTTGGGCATACTTTATGACACCTGCTTTACTGTAGCATCTTAATTAAATAAAATTGTTAGCATCTGCCTGACAAATAATTGGAAAAAAAATCCCTCAATTCTCTTATTTTGCAAAGGATATAATTTTAGGCAAAGCTGTGTATTTTCATAGGTGGTGATTAGTACTTTCTTTCTTTCATTAAATGGGAGGATTTTGCTAAATATCGTTAGGGTTATTTTAAATTATTCCTTAAAATTCGGAGAGTGTATAAAAGGTTTAGTTTGTAAAACATACAAGCTTTAGAGTATATTGTGAATTTTTTCCTACCAATTTTTTACAGTCATCTAAATATAAGACAAGAATATATTCAGACATGACAGCATGAGATACCTGTTATTGGGTCTACTGAAGTAAAGGCTGCATGCATGTTAGAGTTTTTGTTTTGTCTACGATTCATTACAAATACACACATTCTCCCTCTCTGCCACCTCCCCACCCTTGGGAGTGAGAATATAGGAAGAAATTATATGTCAAAGGGAATAAAAGTTGAATGTGGAAAAATTGTCTAGGTTAGCAACCAATTACTAATAAATTTTTTTTAAAAAATAAGCAGTTGTTTGTATATAAATTCTTTTAAAAAATGATTACTAATTAGTTTAAAGCAATTTGTAGATAAAATTTCATTCTTTTCAAGGCTCTCTTCACTCTAGGACCTGTATTTTCTCTTTCTCATTCGTATTTTAATTTTCTTCACTATCAGCACCGTGTTTTGCCTAGTGTTTCTTTTATTGAGCGGTGCATTGCTTTAGAAGTAGATGTTTTGATTTTCTGGATTTTACTTTTCAAGTGGGTTTGGAAGTACTAATAACCTTGGAGATGTTAGCTGGCTTTCCAACTTTTAATCTTCAGTATAAACAATTTAAGTGAAGTTTTCCAAAATTAATATTAATTTAAACCATCTGTCCACCATCTGCTAATGTGAGATGCAAAACCAGAGTTTCTTTGTGATCTTTAATCAGACAGTTAGGAAAACTCATATACATTCATAAAATGAATTTAAATTTCTTAACAAAGGGAAATCTTCTGCAAACGTATTCTGAAGGCCATGTATTCCTGGAGCAAAATTAACTTCTGCTCCAGTGTGATTTTATGTAAATGAATGTCCAGTGTCAGCAGGCATGTTACCTACTTCATAAGATCACAAGTTACTAACAACACCCTTCGTCATATTTTCCAAAGAGAAGAGAATGCTGTCAGAAGTTGATACGATATCTTGATTTAAAGAATTTCAGAGTTTGCATTTGTCTAAATGTCAAAATGGTGCCTACGGCTGCAAAAAATACAATATAAAATCATCCTTTTAGGCAGTAAATTTGAAATGGTGTCAAAATTTTAATGTCTTCCTTGCCAATCATTTCATGCTCTTCCCTTTTTAGAAGCTGACTGGACCTTACAATACTAGCTGTAGCATTCCTGTATAACCTGTGCATGATCCTTTCCCAACTCAATAGCCTTTTCACTTCCTTCAAAGATACTTCTTTAGGAAGGTAAAGCTACATGATTTGAAGTAGGTCAGTAAACGTACTTAAAAAAAATTTGGTCATTCACCCTGATCTCCTATACATAAAGAGTTTAACATCTGGATCACTATAAATTGAATTTTGATGTTTTCATTTCAGATATTTGGTGTTATATAGAGATATAGCTATGGGAATTCAGGGCAACTATTTGGCTGCTTGGAATAGAAATGCCCAGTCAACAAATATGAGACAAATTTGAATTTAAAATTTTTTCCCATAATTACAAGTTTTTAATCTCCATGTTTAGCTGTTTTTTCACTAGTTTTTTAATCTCAAGCTGAAAATATTAGTTGGGAGAGTAGATTATGAGCCAACTTTTTACTTTATGAGGATGGCCACATTTATGTACTCCCCCTCTTATTAAGGAGATTTCACTAGCTGTTGACAATGATGTACAGTGGTGCTTTGCTGGGGTGACATCTAGGGAAAACGATTCCGCTGCACCACCACACAAAACCAATTAGAGAACTATTTTCTGCGACAGGTCACGAATTTACGTGGTTCCTCATGAAAAGATGTACCTTTTAATTTCTTTATTAAGATGACATCCGTGTCCCTTGAGACTTTGGGGGATGACAATCATTTGCTCATCATGCAAGAACATACACTCACTGAAATCACATTATGAGACAAGAGTGGAAGACTTTGTTCTTCATTTCACATTTTCTAAATGAGCTACTTTGTGAACTGGTCATCAGAATCATATACAGCAACAGGATTTCTTGACAGGAATTTATCCAAATTCTAGTAAGAAGTGAAAGGGAAGTATAGTGCATATTCAACTGTGGTTATCTACTGTTGAGTTCAAAAACACACCCATGGTCAGATTATTTAGACGTTAGAAATTCAGCAAGCTTTTTGGTATCTGAGATTAAGACATCGAGTGTCAGCAGAAATGAGTTGTTTTTTGAAAAGTGAGTACGGTTATTCAAATCTGCCACAAGTTTCTGGTTAATCATTTTACATTATTTTTGCACAATGTATTTAAAAAGAAAGCCTGGAAATTTCAGTCATTTGTTGTAGCTACTTATTAGAAACACAAGTGCTAATGATTTAAAGTAAGAAGGACTTTTTTTAAAGTGACGAATGCAGTTTTGGTATCCTGAAGCCCAAGGCTCATTTAGAAGAGAAGCACTAGCTTTGATCTTTATTTGTTCAGCATTCTAGTATTAATATTAATATTTAATCAGCTCTAAGGTATTAGGAATTTCCCCATCAAATATTTGTTGTGAATCAATCAATGCTGAGCTCTAGACTAAATGTTGGTAATAGAGGAGCTAAAAGAATAATAAAAGGAGATAGACAAGTGAATTAGCAATAAATTCACAATGTAGTAAATGCTCTGACAAGAGTGATACTGGGAATAAGTGGCCCCTGGGAAAGGCTGCCGAACATAGGAGATGGTTAGCAAAGGTTTTTGAGAGAAGTAACATGGGACTGTGGCTTCAAAAGATGTGTCCATCACCAGTCAGGTGAAGAACAGCATTTTGGCAGAAAGAACAGCAAAAGGAAACACAGAGGCACAAAAGGACATGGTGTGTGAGGAGGAAATTTCAAACAATGTGGTGTATTAATGGTGCATTAAACACAGGGCAAGCAGTAGCAAGAGTCTGGGCTGGAGAGGTAGGTGGATACACGATCTTGGGGAGCCTTGTGAGGATTATGTTATATACAACAATTCCTCTATTTCTAAGACGCATGATTTTTTTTCCATTTTGGTTTCTCTGAAATCAGAGTGCAAACAAGTATTGTTGGAAGAGACTTGCCAGCTGCCAGGCAAAGGAGCAAGTTGTGACGAAACTCATGCTGCCTGTTCATGGGAAAACTCAACCATGCTGACGATCTCATCAAATTGAATCATTTTTTTCCTCCCAAATATTACATTAAAATGGTAGCATTGAAATTAAGTTACTGTATGTACAAAATTTTGCCTCTCTAGGAATAGAACATAAAATTCCAAGGCTGGTTAGAGGAAGATACAGGAATTAAGCTAAGAAAGAGGCATGCAGAGAGGGGATCTAGATAAAGACTCCTCAGAGTCAGCAAAAGAACCAGAAGGGGCAATGTCAGGAAAGTGAAGGAGTAGCAGAGTGTTTTAGGGAGGAATGAGAAGTGAGCTAGTCAGGTGAGTGTGAGTGACCTCTGCCAGGCAGAAGGCTGGTTGTGGTTAGGAGGGCTCTGGGAGATAAGCAACTGAAGACAGCAAACGTAGGCAACTCGCTTGAAAAATCTGGATGCAAAAGAGAAAAAAAAAGTGGAAAGTAACTAGAGGAGAAAATAGAAGAAGCTCACGCATGGTTATAAGCTAGGGTAAGAATCCAAGAAAGAAAAAAATGAAGATACGTGTGTGTGAGAGAAATAAATTATGATATATTAATACCAGCTCAGAGGAGGCAGGAAGAAAAGGTCATGGGAACAGGTAAATGGATTAAACATTCTTTGAAATTGGAAAAAATGTGGCATGGATAATTGTGAAATGAAGGTGCATTTGGTAGATATGTGGGGACCTAAGGAAGATTATTCCTCAGTCTTCAATTATCCCATGAAGGAAGGAAGGAGAGTGAACTTTGTTATCAGAGCCTGGTGAGAGCCGGGGAGCTGGGAGCAACCTCTTCATGCCCTCACTGCAATCATATAACCGGAAGTCAGAGAACAAAAGAATATGAGTCATCTCATCTGTAGAGATCAGCCTTCGGGGCATAGACAGGACAGACAACAGCAAAGAAAGGGAAGAATTAGCCCAGGAAATACATTGAAGATTGATAAATTGGAAGACTGTGTGCAAAGATGGCTACAATAAATTTCTTCTGTCTCTCCACCTGTGTTCCTATGCAATGTGACTCTGCCGTGCCCCCCAGGAAGAGGCAGAGTCTCTTTCCCCACCCTTGAATCTGGGCTTCACTGTGACTTAGTCTAACCAACAGAAGGTGGTAGAAATGAAGTTTTACAATATCTGAGCCTAGGCCTCAAGAAACCTTGCAGCTTTTCCTCTCACTCTCTTGAAACACCCTGTTAGATGCCATGTAAGGAATTTTTCTTAAGGATGAAAGACCATGTGGACGAGGAGGCCCAGCCAGGCATATCCAGACCATCTTGGACCATCTTGCTCCAATCCAGCAGCCAGATGACTCAAGCCACACAACTGACTCAGGCAAGACCAACTGTTTTAAGCCATTACATTTTGGGAGGATTTGTTACTCAGCAACAGATAACCAATATAGTTGGATATCTCGGTCCTCATAAAAGGATGAGCTCAAAACATTACAGCTTCTGTCCCCAGCCCTTAGGATGTTTGAGGTATGTTGTAATCTTGCTGGGTTTTTCTTTGTTTGTTTGTTTTTGCAAATATTTTATTAAAGTTTGAAGCATAATGAATATTTTAAAATGAAAAGTACATTCTAGACCACCACTTGCTAGGGACTCAGGGGCAGGAGAAGAATACATAGGTGGATTTTTAGGGCAGGGAAACTATTCTGTGTGAGAATTGTAATGGTGGATACATGTCTCATACGTTTATCAAAAATCCGTGGAATATACAACACAAAGAGTAGACTCTAATGCAAATCATGGACTTTTAATAATGGATCAACACTGGCTCATCACTTGTTACCAAATGTACCACATTTATACATGACATTAACAATGGCAAAATTGTGATGGGAAGAGATGGGGTATATGGGAACTCTCTGAACTATCTGCTAAATTTTCTGTAAACCTAAAACTGTTCTACAAAAGGAAGGCATTAATTAAAAAAATATGTTCTGGTTTTTTAATGTATACATTTTACTATTCTTAATAACCAAGCCAAATAATACCAAAATGACAGCGGGTGGCAGGAAAGTGAGGTTCCCTAGGTACTATGAAGAGAGTTCTGCAACTTGTTTTTTTTTTTTTTTTGAAACAGAGTCTTGCTCTGTTGCCTGGGCTAGAGTGCTGTGGCGTCAGCCTAGCTCACAGCAACCTCAAACTCCTGGGCTCAGGCGATCCTTCTGCCTCAGCCTCCTGAGTAGCTGGGACTACAGGCATGTGCCACCATGCCCAGCTAATTTTTTCTTTTTATATGTATATATTTTTAGTTGTCCAGATCATTTCTTTCTATTTTTTAGTAGAGACGGGGTCTCGCTCTTGCTCAGGCTGGTCTCGAACTCCTGACCTTGAGCGATCCACCCGCCTCGGCCTCCCAGAATGCTAGGATTACAGGCATGAGCCACCGCGCCCAGCCTGAAACTTGTTTTTTAATGTGAGGATTACTGTACTCAACAACATGGTTTCCTTTTGCATTAGCTCTACAAATAAAACAAAGATATGCAAATATTCCACATTTTGCCTAGAGAGAAATATAAAGACATTAAAGAACAAGTGAGAAACTATGACATATGTAAGGTACTTATAGAACTGCTTCTTACCCCCAAGGAGAACAGTGAAAATGTCACCATGCTGCTTTTGAAGAGTTTTTATGTAATTCAAGGGATCTTTCTGGAATTTTAGGGCCATTCCAAGATAAGGAAGCCAACCTTTTATCAATGGAGGCTCACCCGGTCTCCTATAAGAAAAAAAAAAAAGAAAAGAAAAAGAAAAAGAAAAATCAAGTCATTCTTATTTTGAAAACACACATGGGTTATTTATCCAGTCTAGAAGTGGATCGCATGGATTGCACAGCTTCTTTCAATTCCCTTATTAAATGATTCTTATATAGTCACAGACATGTGTTTACTGAGCTTCTCCAGTAGGTATGCTTCTGGGGTCAACAGTTCAATTCACAACTTTTGGTGAGCAACTTCTTGAAGAAATTGTGTCTTGCAAGGCCTGGATAGCTGCTTGACAGTTAAGTCACAATCTGTCTTATTGTATGTTCAATTTCCCATCATCATACGTAGACCTGAAGAGTCTGGGACTACGGGATCTCTTGGAAACTAAATAGGTTATTTGATATAATTTATTCTATGAAATTGTCAGTTTGGTAAAATGCTGATAAAAAACAAATGATCAGCTGCCTGAATTTGTTGGTCTTTCACAAGTCATGTTATAAATGCTGCCTGATAAATTTAGTCAATAGGACCTAAGTTTAGTTTTGACTGATATTTGTGGTTGTCTACTATGTGCTTGGTGATGTGCAAAGGGACAGGCCAAATCTAAATTCTAGTCAAGCTGCTTGTCGGAAATCCTGTAAACTACATATTTCGATTACTGATTTTTCATTTTTTAAATTTAGTTGTAGAGACGGATCTCATTCTGTCATTTAGGCTGGAGTGTGGTGGCACGATCACAGCTCACTGCAGCCTCAAACTCCTGGGCTCAAGTGACCCTCCTGCCTGGCCTCAGCCTCTCCAAGCACGGGAATTCCAGGTGTCTGCCACCACGCCCAGCTTACTGATTATTTTGTTTTACATTTGCAGTGTTTTTATATATGCAGATGCAGTCAAACTAAACTGTCTCATTTTAAATCCCGACTCATGTGTAGGCATTTAGGTCTTTCCATAAATAAAGAGTATGAGGTTTTTTTTAATCTTAAGAAATCTTCAATTACATTTTTATACGTTGAAGGTGTAGGGGATAATGCATTATGGGATTTGAAGTTTTTTAAACCACTTAAGTGTACTTAACAGAGTAAATGGAGGTGTGCTCTTGAGGATGTGCAAGTTATAGTAAAGTGTTTATTGTGCAGTTTCTCACTGGATTGATTGATTACACAGTTTAGAACTAGATGGCAACTTGGGAGCTTTAGTGCAATCCCTCATTTTTACAGGTAAGGGATCTCAAGACCTGAGGGGTCAACTAATTTGCCTAACGTCATGAAACCACCTAGGAAAAAACCATAGAAGCAGCTCCCTGCTTGAGCTGACAGACAAATTCAGTAAACATCTCGAGTGTGAATCTGAGAGCTCTTGCTGCGCCCTGGGTGTTAGATTTCAGATAGTTTAGTTGCCAAAGTAAAGCTCTTTGTTATCAGATGTCAATTTGACTGGAATTGCATAATCAGAAGAGGGACAATTAACAATCTTGAAAAATCTTTCATGCTGTGGAGAATAATAAAAACCTCAGAGTTGTTTCCATGAAAGTATATTTAAATATACTCTTTTATAGTTTTTTATCCAAATTACAAATGAATGGAATTATTTGTAAATTTTACTAATAATTTGACATTTTTTTAAACATGTGAAGCATCCTTTAAAATACTATCAATTAAAAAACAAGTTTCTTCATTTTCCATCTGTAGTCCCAGTGAAACTGCACTTCAAAATTTTTCTAGTCATTAATTCGGTGAAGTCAATCTGATTTAAAGTAAAAAAATAAAAACAAAAAACAAAGCCATTTTATCCTAGAAGGGATTAAAACAAGTATTCAAAAGAACTCTGATTCTCTAGCCCATCTGTGAAGACGACTTGCAGTACATGCACTGCGAGCCATTTTGATTAATCACAAGATATTCCTCGCTAAGATCTAATCAAAAATCAAGAGTATGATCATACCAGCATGGACTTTTATGCAGCTAGATTAACCCTATTAGAAGCTGTTATTTTTCCACAACCCAACATGGTAGAATTAAACTTCAAAAATAAACAACAGAGCTTTCAGGGGGAAAAAAATGATGAAAACAAAATAAATCGGAGTTGTGATAGAAATAAAGGAAAGCTTTTGCTTTCTCTTTTTAGAAGATAATTTGTGTTAATACTAACTTAAAAAATGAATGCTGTTGTTTAAATATATATACTTAGAAATAGGAAAACAAGAAACACTGCATAGAAATGTGAATCTTATCCTTCATGCTTTTTCTCATTTTTTTTTTAATGCAGCCTTCAGCAATGGAGACTCGCTTTTCTGAAAAATATGAGAAAATGAAGAAAACATTGTAACAGTTAATTTTATATACAAAGATTAAACAAGAAGAGATCACACATGTGATTGTACAGTAGGATCACCAAGTTAGAAATTGTCATAGCCCATATACTACCTACCAATGACCTTTTCAAATTTTCAAGTGATCCAGTTCACAAAATTTTTTGTCAAAATGTTAACCTTCTTTCTTTGTCTATTTATTTGTATTCTGTTAGTTTAATGTTGCTTGAATGTTGCATTGTGACAAAGATTTAGAAAGGCTTTTTGTCATATTCTAATTTAATGCAACTAATTTTGTCTTCTATGCTCCGTCATTAGGTTGGAAGCTGTATTCTTCATAGGACGTGTGTGGAGGGAAAGGACAGGGGACTCGGAAATCCAGGGGAATGATAACTTAGCGTTCAGAGTCAGGGAGGCCCATTAGGAAGCCGTTTTATTGTTACAAAGGAGAGAGGGTCATCGTTTCCTACAGCTGTGTTTATTTTGGCAGCAGTAAGCTTAAGACTCTTAAACACCATGTCACAACTGCTCATATTTTCAGGAAAAAATATAGTGCTAGCTCAACTTATGACCCATTGAAGACAGATAACACAAATCTGTCTTCATCAGTATATTTGTAAACATTATTTAGGGAGGAAAGACATTGCCATAATGATCCAGAACGGCCTGTTGACACATGGCACAGGCAAACACTGCCGTTGGTCTCTCTCACGCTCTGTGACTTTGAAAATGAAATGCCCGCTGCTGAGTGAGGATATAGGATGCTTCATGCTTGTTGGGCATGATCGAATTCCAAAGCTTAAAAGAAGTTGGTCCTAAAGCAATGTGAGTAGCTAAAAACAAAACAACCAAACAAAACTCTGGTGCATATCCCCTCATAATTTCACATAAACAATATACACTTCCTCAAATCTTCTCTCTACCATTTAAGGGACTCTAAGAACACATCTAAGAAATTATATTATCCAAATCAGAGCTTATAAGTGTTCTCAATGATTAAACCCAAGTTCTATGCATACACCATTGCATCAGCGCTTGTAATTTCTTCTATGCAAGTTATAGGACACATCTTAAAGTTTATGCAAAAGGTCAAGTACAGTCCAAATTTATCTGGAAACAAATATTGGAGAAGAATCTAAACACATAAAATGGCTGTAAAATATAAAAGATGTTTAAGCTATTTCCCTTTGGTCAAAAAGACGCACAGTAAAATTCAGTAAAATTTAGAAGAGTAGACCAATACGGAATACTTGATTTCTCATAATATTTGAAGTTCATCTTTATACTACACCTGTAGTTAAAAAAATATGTTATTTAATAGAAAACGTGGCTAGTGACCTATCTTGCACATTGTTGTAGACTCTAAAGCCCAGCACTTTCCACAACAATCTACATTTGTCAAAATAATGTCTTCTTTTCCATTTCTCCTACAGTCTTTCTAGGCTAGGTGTCCAGGTTATTGTATAATAATAACCTCCTAAGTAAGTGGTGAACAACCTTTATACATGCACGCCAACTCAGAAAAAATGAAAATATGTATTTATTAATAGTCTTTAAAGACATAATATGTCTGTACTAGGTGACCTAATATCTATAATGGTGCCTTAATAATTTTTTATTTTCCCTAATTAATGAGGGTTTTCTTTCTGTGTGTGTGGTTAACATTTCAGAAACTACATAACTGATGTATATTACAGTATCTGATTATAATACTGACCTTTTTAACAAACTTTGTTTTTGAGCAAGGCACTTTTGAAGCTGCTCTGTTTTACCTTTCCTTAACTTACTTTGGAAGCAGCCTCATTGGAAAATGTAATTTGCCTCATAGTGTCTCTTAGGACTGAATTATTGAAACATCCCTTATTCCCCCCACTCTTCCTGGGCTCCGATATTGGCATGAGGAAACCCAAAAATGTTCCAACAACTTTTGATAATTGAGAATTGGCATGCTTGTCAGGCTGTTGGGAAGAGGGGGTCTCAGTGCAGGGTTATGGATTCGAGATCCCAGAGGAGGGGGGGTGGATCGACAACGTGGCTGAGTGTAAGCATTCCAGCACTGAGAGCCCAGATGGGGCCAAGGAGGCACAGATCGCAATCCATTGCTTCCCCTGGAAATGAGGTGGGAGTTACAACCAACCAGGGACATGTCAGTGATGGATGCACAGTGGAGGGCTACACCCAAAGACCTGGCCAGGAAGGCACCCCAGAGAAGCTAAAGACAACCCACGTGAACGTCTGCACAGCAGAACTCACCAGATCAACAGAAAGGAAGGGGAAGAGAAACTCCTAAATTCTATTAAATACTTATACAAAAGAGACTAAGTTTTAAACTAGAAGTGACTGAATTACTTTCACTGAAAATCTTCAGTGTTTTCAACTATCACCAGAAATAGAGGCTCATGAGAAATTTGAGTTCAGTTATGGAGAAATAAAGTTACACTTCTGCACATTTGCCTCATATTGGGAAATTTTAAATCTGGTACACTATCTATGTAGCTGCTCAGTTTCTTCACCTGTAAATTAGAATATTAATATCAACATTACAGGTTTATCATTTGGATGGAGATAGAGTATCTGAAAGTAGCTGGTACACAGAGCAGGATTAGTTTTCCCTGCTCTTTATATATTGTAAGCAGTTGCACAAAAGTGGTTTTGCACACCTATTCTCTGCCAGAACTCTTTCATTTGTCAACTCTCTATGCTTAT